TACTACTACTACTACTACTACTACTACTACTACTACTACTACTACTACTACTATTACTACTACTACTACTACTTTTACTAGTAGTAGTAGTAGTGGATTGCATTTCTTTAGCGCTATATCTTAAACACGTATAAACTCTGAGCCCTTTACATCGATGGCATGATTGCTGAGTGTGAAACCTCACATACACACTCACGGAAAAAACATTTCATATTAACAAAAGGAAAACCTTTCTTACCCATACATTGATTATATACACGTAAGCACAGCAGTGAAAACAAGACCTATCAACACTTACTAACACACTCTAACTAAGGTAACATGGTGAATAACAACTATTATCAGAGGATCATCTGTATCCATTGACTAAGGTCAAAAGACATGTATGGTGTCAAAAGTGAAATCAGCGGTATGTATTTTTTTGTTTTGCCTCTTGTTGACGAAGCAAAGAGCATGGCTCTTGTGACTTATTCTCGATGTCGGTTTCTCAAACTATACTCTGTCACATTTTAAGTATACTCTGTGTTAAAATTAAAATAGTTTCTTAGCAAGCCGATACTCTTAAAATTTTCAGGTATAATAATTCAATCAATTTTAAAAACGAAAAAATACAACAAAAATAAGGAAAATTAACTTAACAGGTTTATTCCCGACTTACAAGAGTGTGAGGGTGGTCTAAAAAAGTAACACGATCAGTAGCGTGTATGAAGTCCTTTGCATTGGTGACGGTCTGATATCGTCGCCACATGGGATCAATCAATCGCTGCTCTGCCTGTTGAGGGCGGATGTTATTCCACTATTCATGAATGCTCTTTCAACTTGAGGAACTGTCTTAAGCGGGTGTTCTCTCCTTCGAATGTCGCGATCGAGTTTTATGTAGGAACTGAGTGGTTAGACGAACCCTATGCGCCAGGGCATTGTCGTGCATAAAGGTTAAGTCCCTTGTTTTGAATGGCTGCAACAACGTGTGGCCGAAGAATCTCGTCAATGTATCGGTGTGCTGTCAAATTGCCTCGAACTCTCGAACAGTCACAAGTGTGTTCTTGCCAGCTTCTGTAATTCCTCCCCACACCATCACACTTCCACCAACAAAAGCTCTGGCCTGACTTAAGCATTGAGGAACGAACCTCTTTTTTACTCTCCGGGATACGCGTTTTCGTCCATCTTGACTTTCCAAAAGAATCCTGGATTAGTCCCAGACCATGTGGTTATTCCATACCTGGCGAGACCAACGTGAATGTATTCCAGCCCAATCAAGCCTGTCTCTGATGTTATAGGGCGTCAATCTGATGCGGTAGCTGGGCGCCTTGCTCGGAGTCTAAATTCTTTCAACAGTCTCAATACAGTCATTTATATTGGGTTGACAGGTCGTATGTTCTTTAACTCATCACTGATTTGTCTTGCCGTTTTGAAACGATTCCGAAGATGCAACAGGCGTATAAAAAGATACTCTCTTGGGGTAGTTTTTCTTCTCCCAAGTCGACGGGCTCGATCCTTTTGTGACCCTACTGTTCTCTCACGATCCATTGTTGCGTACAAAGTTCTCCTTGTTACATTAAAATGTCTGGGAACAGTAGTGGATACTGAGGTGCCCCCGGGGATCATTCCAAGATGCTGATTATACCCATTTTTCTCGTAGGCATGGCATCATGAAACGTAGATAACACAAGTTTTTATCACTGGTGAATTGTTACAAAAAAGACAAAGCTTTGATGTGTACTTCTTTTTTAAACAAATCATTGCCGTGTCAGGAGTAATTAAAAAAGCAACCACAAAACAGGTTCAAAAATCTGAAAATAACTCATCAGCGGCAGGTATATCAGAAAGTCATTATATATATATTGTAAAAGTATGGCATAGATTTAAAAAAAAAGAGCTTTAAAATGTGTATACTTAAAAATGTGACAGAGTATATATTGAAACCTTACAGTTTTTATGTCACCAAAAAGACAAACACAAAAATACATTCCTCATAATGAGTACTCTTAACCTCAGACACTTTTGTCTTTGCTCTTGTTGGTATTGTATTTCTCACACTTTTTTCGAATGACTGATTACGGAGTGTGGGTTTACTCGGCAGTTTGATTGATGATAACTCTCTTTCAAGGGCTTTAAAAACAGCGGTGTGAATAATTCACCAGTCCAGAAAGTTTTCACATAAGCCATTATCGCCCCATTGCGTGACAGACCAGGGTGACAGTGGAGTATTGCCCCCCCCCCCCCCCCCCCCCCCAACAAAAACAACAACAACAACAAAAAACAACATCCTTTAGAACTGCTCGTCCTATTTTTATAAAACACTATGGTTCACTGTCGGAGACACAGAGGCATTGCAACAACATTTTACAGGAACAGGAAACAGTTTTTTAATATTAAAAAAAAAAGTGTTTTTACCTCCCCATTGACTCAACTTAGATAAATTAGGAGGCGAGCTTAAACCCCACTTATCAGGACCAAGCAGGACTGAGAAGGATACAACGTCGAAGCAGAAAGACAAAGACAATCGAGGAAGATTCTCCCCACAGATGGAATCGAACTTGGGTCTTCTGCCTGCGTGACGAAGCGTCTAACAGCTACACCGAAGACCCCGGTCAGTGGACTGAGATTATCGTGTTGCCATAAGACAAGCCTAGCAAGCCTGTGGTGGATTATTTATTGCTAAAGAAAACAACAAGAGAAAGAAACGGATGTAAACCAGTTCCTACTTCGCCCCGCCTGAGGTCACTCACCTGTTCACCAGTGTATGCCCATGACCCCATCTTCAGTCGGCACATTTGGGTATCGAAAGGGAAAAAGGTGATATCGATCTTACAGGATGATCGGAACCGGATGACCGGTCCCCAGAAGACTCGGCTGTCATCGTATACCATCGCCAGACTCGGCATGTAGCCCTGTGTGTAATCGTCCACGCTAAGAAGGGTGAAAGAAAAATGCACAGTTAGCTATTTAAAATGTGATTGATCGCTAGTATTGACGAGTAAACACATTTATCTATTCCCCAAAATTATGTATTAATTAATCTATCGCCAGCTAGCTGTTAAAGACGTGAAAGCCAATTTTTTGCAGGCGAGAGAAAAAACTGTTTCATTCTTTAAAAAATTATTTGTACACTTCGAAACCAGTACAAAAAGCAGGTCAAGGCATTATTTATTATTGGTTGACATAAATCATCTCGTGAAAAGTCGTTTTGTAATTAGATAATTTGCCAGATACAATATACTCCCCCCCCCCCCCAAGAAACCCTCTACATTTTTTTACCCTGAAACCCTCCAGATTGGTCCATTATACTTAGAGTAGTTCGCATAAGAACCAGTTTGCCCAGTGTTACGAGAAATTACCGTGGTAACTAACGAGGGAGGGATTTATAACAGTGACCCAAAATGTTGGGCACACAGAGTGATGCCCCTTGATATGCGCATTGGGTCAAGTGGGGGACATTAAATTTACTATTACCATGTTTTGTAAGCCCATAGAATAAATTATGTAGGTTCTTCTTACAAAGATTTGTTCTTGTTTTCTGCTTGAAGTGTAGCGGTGTGCAATTGCCATAACATATCACATCGTAAGAATAATAATTCAAACTCAAATAAGTTAGAACGTTAGAAAATCCGAAGCCCAAACGAAATAAATCTTTCGCTTCAGTCAGAAATTGCAAGTCAGCAACAAACGAAAAAACAACAACAAAACAACAACAACCCAAAACCGAACTGTTGGCGTTATGAACATTACGGAATTTTTATTTTTTCCCCTTTAGAAAAGAAGTCACGCTGAGTGCTGTCCCCGTGACTATTCAAGCTTTTCACTCAAGTTATCCTTTGAAAACCCTTTAATTTTGCTTTACTTTTTACGGGCGTTAAGTTTTCTGTGAAATTTCATTTTCAGCCTCTTAGACAAACATAGATGCTTACAACCAGACTCACTCTAACTCTCACACGCAGACTCACACATACACGTGCATGTACACGCACACATATGTACACACTCACACACACACACACACACACACACACACACACACACACACACAGTCAAGAGATCTAAGCTTTTTGTCATTAGGCGGAAAATATAGTTCAACTGCGAGTATTTTCTTTTTTCTAAGGTTCTGTTACCT